TGTGTGTGTGTGTGTGTGTGTTAGAGAGTACGCCCCAAGAGGATTGAAGCTTAAGTCTAGCTTTCCTCTTTTCATGTCCTACCTTCTATCAAACTGCAGACCGGTGAACAGTGGAAAGATTCAACCTTGGCATCAAATAGGCAGTTTATTCTTTCTCTTTGATGAAGTCATAAATAAGATTCCGAGAGGGTTCTAACAGGACTAACAGTGGTGAACTTTACATGAAGATCAGAAGGCTGACCTTCTTTGTGGTTTCACTGCATGCAGGACCACCAAATACTCATCAGTAATATAAAATGTGCGGCTTGGGTCACTCATTGTGCTACTTCTGGAAAAAAGACATATTGTTCAGAAAAGTTATTAAAGGCGCTTTGAAAACTCTTGATCTTGCATACATTTTCAACTAATGATTAGTTTGCTTTTTGCTTTGCACTCAGTTTTAAATGCAATGCATTAACAACAATACATTGGGCCAATATGAAAAAAGAACTGCAGAACTGGTATGGTATGGTATGGTATGGTATAGATTTTCCTACTGGAAAGCGGACATTCACCCATCCTTGGGAAATGTACATTTAAGCTAAAATGTAGTCGTTCCAATTGATATTAAGAATATTGGCTGTTATTTCAGTGATACTGTGCTGTGTATTTTCCTGCTCAATTGATTTTTTTATGGTTAAGAAAAGGATGGAATAAAATCTTCCATAAATGGTACTTGACACAGGCTGTATATCCCATAAAACTCTGTGAACAAGGCAAGGGGATAGCACAAGGAGAAGACTTAGAAGAAGCTGTAGTAAATATCCACCAGGCAAGACACAATTTTGTTAGGACATTACCACTCTATACCTTACTTGTCTGTGCAAAGAAATCACTCCTTTTTCATGCAGCTGTTAGACTCCTTTCATAAAAATTACTGCAGCTGGAATACATGTCTAGCTGCAACTGGCAGGGGTTTGCTGACAGGGATGAAATCTAAATTGGAAGTGGATGGCTCATTGGCTAAAATCACTTGTGGCACTGGTTACTCTTTTCTACTCTGCAGCCTTCCATACCATTTTGATAAATGACTGATTCCTGAGTTTCCAAATCCCAGAGATACAGTTTTGAGGGTGCACCGAAAACTGTAATACTACTAGTTCTGCTGAATAATGTCATTCCACTAATGCAGATCCATTAGTGGGTTCTGCCAATTGACTTGGACTGGAAAGAACTGGAATCAAATTCATAATAAGCAAGGAAGCTTTCTGGACGAACTTCTGTAAGTCAGTATCCTGCAACCTAATCTGCTTTCCAGGGTTGTTAAGAGGATCAGCTTGGATAATTCCTACACACAAATATAGGAAAGACAAGCAAAGTCCATATTGCACCATGATTCCCATCCCACCTTCCCATTCTTTCAGTAGGTTCAATTTATTGATCAAACAAAAAGGGTTTTCAGCCACTGTAATCTGTATTTGTGTATGTGTGTGTGTGTGTAAGCAATGTGTGTGTGTGTGGGGGGGGCCCTCTGAATTGGTCAGGCTAGATTATCTTCAGCCATTCATTAAAGATTGTTTAAAATGTGTAAGGATGTGTCCCTAAAAAAAATGAGATCCATTTAATCTTGAAAAACTCCGTGGCCTGTGAGAAAGGCCTTCATGTCAAGCAGGCTTCAGGAGGAACATAAAAATGCTTTAAACATTGCTCAGCAGTGAAATCTCTGGTTGTTTTTTGCTTTGTTGGTTTTTCCCCTTCACTGTAACTGCTAGCATCATGTTTAGAATTTCCAAACTCTTCCATCTGTGATCACAGCTGGCTAAGTAATTTCCTCTAATTTCAACTCCCTGATGAATGGAACTGGGTGTTGGCTTGGACTAAAACAAGATGTCCCTCTTTAAATTTACGAACAGTACATAGAGAACTTCAAAGAGAACCACCAGGTAGAAAACTAACTGTTGAAAAGATTGAATTCTAGAACAAAACAGGTTATTTCGGAACTAGAAAAACTACTGCTTGAACTCTACTAGAAATATTATTATTAAATAAAGTAGCTGTAATTGAAATTGAATTATATAAAGAAAGAGGAATTCAGCTTCTTCAATAAATTGTGTCAACATTAATTATTTTAAAAGGTTAACATTTTGATCGCATGACTTTTTCTTCAATGTGTGAAATCCCTTGGCTGAGAATGAGCCCACACACAACAGTGGCATCAGCAAATGGAAGGGAAAAATACAATATGAGCCTATTTTTTGGACAGAACTATATTGTCTCTTAGAAATCTAGGCTATCTTAGTGGGCAGTTCAAACAAAGCTAGATCATTTGACCAAGATATTAAGCATACTGGGTAACTCTCTGAACCATTTCAACAGGCTCACATAGAAAAATAACTTTGTTCTTGTTGAAGACATTCTACAACTCACAGATTTTAGATTTTTATTATGCATTGTTTCTATAGGGTGGCACATTATAGTGTAAGCAACCCATGAATACCGAAGGCTAATTTATTCATCAACTAATTCATTCATCAACTAATGAAACCTGTATGTCTTGGAAGATGGCTGGAGGCTGATGATGAGTTCTAGTCTTGTTTCAAGCCCTTATTTGTGATAGACGCAATCATTGTCATCCTGGCAGATGACTGGAAGTGGATTGGGAAAGGATCCTTCTTGGTCACCTGGAATCTCTCTGTGGCCTTTAATGTACCAACTGTATGCAACAATAGTGAGCAGCTGCAGTGATGAAAGACAAGGAAGATAAACAGAGACAAGCAGAGTGGTCTGGCTGCCAGATGGTGTGGGGTATAAATCTTCATGGATTGCTGCCTTGTCGTGGTGAAGGGGCTTGAGTAACTCAGAGAAACTATGGGCTATGCCGTGCAGGGACACCCAAGACGGACAGGACATAGTGGAGAGTTCCGACTAAACGCAATCCACCTGGAGTAGGAAATGGCAAGCCATTCCAGTATCTTTGCCAAGAACGCCCCATGATCAGAAACAAAAGGCTAAAAGATATGACGCTGGAAGATGGGCCCCTCAGGTCGGAAGGCGTCCAACATGCTACTGAGGAAGAGCGGAGGACAAGTACAAGTAGCTCCAGAGCTAATGAAGTGGTTGGGCCAAAGCCGAAAGGACGCTCAGCTGTGGACGTGCCTGGAAGTGAAAGGAAAATCCAATGCTGCAAAGAAAAATACTGCATAGGAACCTGGAATGTAAGATCTATGAACCTTGGGAAGCTGGAGGTGGTCAAACAGGAGATGGCAAGAATAAACATCGACATCCTGGGCATCAGTGAACTAAAATGGACAGGAATGGGCGAATTCAGCTCAGATGATTATCATATCTACTATTGTGGACAAGAATCCCGTAGAAGGAATGGAGTAGCCCTCATAGTCAACAAAAGAGTGGGAAAAGCTGTAATGGGATACAATCTCAAAAATGATAGAATGATGTCAATACGAATCCAAGGCAGACCTTTCAACATCACAATAATCCAAGTTTATGCACCAACCAGCATTGCTGAGGAGACTGAAATTGAACAATTCTATGAAGATTTACAACACCTTCTAGAACTGACACCAAAGAAAGATGTTCTTCTCATTCTAGGGGACTGGAATGCTAAAGTAGGGAGCCAAGAGATAAAAGGAACAACAGGGAAGTTTGGCCTTGGAGTTCAGAACGAAGCAGGACAAAGGCTAATAGAGTTTTGTCAAGAGAATAAGCTGGTCATCACAAACACTCTTTTCCAACAACACAAGAGGCGACTCTATACATGGAAATCACCAGATGGGCAATATCGAAATCAGATTGATTATATTCTCTGCAGCCAAAGATGGAGAAGCTCTATACAGTCAGCAAAAACAAGACCTGGAGCTGACTGCGGTTCTGATCATCAGCTTCTCATAGCAAAATTCAAGCTTAGACTGAAGAGATTAGGAAAAACCACTGGGCCACTCAGGTATAATCTAAACCAAATCCCTTATGAATACACAGTGGAAGTAAAGAACAGATTTAAGGAACTAGATTTGGTGGACAGAGTGCCTGAAGAACTTTGGATAGAGGCTCGTAACATTGTCCAGGAGGCAGCAACGAAAACCATCCCAAAGAAAAGGAAATGCAAGAAAGTAAAGTGGCTGTCCAACGAGGCCTTAGAAATAGCAGAGAGGAGAAGGGAAGCAAAATGCAAGGGAGATAGGGAAAGTTACAGAAACTTGAATTCAGACTTCCAAAGAATAGCAAGGAGAGACAAGAGGGCCTTCTTAAATGAACAATGCAAAGAAATAGAGGAAGATAACAGAAAAGGAAAGACCAGAGATCTGTTCAGGAAAATTGGACATATTAGAGGAACATTTTGCGCAAAGATGAACATGATAAAAGACAAAAATGGGAGGGACCTAACAGAAGCAGAAGACGTCAAGACGAGGTGGCAAGAATACACAGAGGAATTATATCGGAAAGATTTGGATATCCCGGACAATGCAGACAATGTAGTTGCTGACCTTGAGCCAGACATCCTGGAGAGTGAAGTCAAGTGGGCCTTAGAAAGCCTGGCTAACAACAAGGCCAGTGGAGGTGATGGCATTCCAGTTGAACTATTTAAAATCTTGAAAGATGATGCTGTTAAGGTGCTACATTCAATATGCCAGCAAGTTTGGAAAACTCAACAGTGGCCAGAGGATTGGAAAAGATCAGTCTACATCCCAATCCCAAAGAAAGGCAGTGCCAAAGAATGCTCCAACTACCGTACAATTGCACTCATTTCGCACGCTAGCAAGGTTATGCTCAAAATCCTGCAAGGTAGGCTTCAGCAGTATGTGGACCGAGAACTCCCAGAAGTACAAGCTGGATTCCGAAGAGGCAGAGGAACTCGAGACCAAATTGCTAACTTGCGCTGGATTATGGAGAAAGCCAGAGAGTTCCAGAAAAATATCTACTTCTGCTTCATTGACTATGCGAAAGCCTTTGACTGTGTGGACCACAGCAAACTATGGCAAGTTCTTAAAGAAATGGGAGTGCCTGACCACTTTATCTGTCTCCTGAGAAACCTATATGTGGGACAGGAAGCAACAGTTAGAACTGGTCATGGAACAACTGAGTGGTTCAAAATTGGGAAAGGAGTACGGCAAGGCTGTATATTGTCCCCCAGCTTATTTAACTTATATGCAGAATACAT